ACTTCCGGCTTTTTTCTTTTTGCTTATGTGGTGCTGAGTAATCGAACCCAGAGCCTCATGAATGCAAGGCAAGCGCTCTACTACTGACCACCTTCCCAGCCCCTCTACTTCAATTCTTTACTCCTGAACAGTTTCATTCACCTAGATCTTGCTAAGTCCCACTCCTTCAAATTTTACCTATAACCCTTCTTCCCAACCAGGCTGGAGGCCTCCATCTAGATTATACTTACTCAACACCACAACTGTCTATTATCTGCAAGTGGAATTTAGAGGAGAAAAAAATCCCAAGACTGGCTTTTGCAAAGTGACTTTTAAGTGCTGTTACTAGTGTCAAGTCACTTACTGCATAGATCATGTTTTCTGGGTTGGGTTATGTAGGATATAGCAAAAGAGTTCTTGCAAAATTGGGACGCAACTTTTCTCCCTGTTCTTCCAAACCTTCACTGAGAAGTGGTCTCTCCAAACCTGTTTCCCCATCTTTACGCTAGAGATCATATTTCTTTTTGGCTCTTTTCAGTTTATTGCATGAAGGAGTTACACTAGTCCAAGTTAAAAGCGGACCCCAAATGGTTACATTATACAAGCTGTGAGGTTTTTAAACTTGTGACAAGGGACAGAAGGGAAATTCTACTCATTGCAAGGAAATCCTCACTTAAGCTTCAATGAGCCACAAGCACTTTAAACCCATGAACCTTCAGCTGATTGTACTTAGCCAGTCCAATCTCTACCAGGAACTGGCATATGTTCTTGCGCTGGTCACCCTGTAACTGAATTACTTCTCCATATTCTGGATGCTCAATTACAGTACCATTGCAGGCAAATTTCTTCTTAAACACCTTCACTAGTTTCTTTTTATCGTAATCATCAGCGATCCCTTGGACAGTAGTAAGGGTCTTCCTGCCGTTTCTCTGTTGAATTCTTCTATGGATATAATCCTCAGTGCCAGCAGGAAGCGGGTCATCACCCTTACTTGCATCAGCAAAGGGGTCGAAAGAGTGGAGGTTCTGGATAGCAGACATAGGATTCGATTCCTTTTCCTCATATTTCTTATCTCACAGAAATGTGATAATTGTAAGGTCCATTCCTGGATGATGAGCAGACCGCACCCAATACCTGTGTTACCTAGGCAACTGGGACACCTGGAAGAGGTCACATCTGCATCCCCTGAGGTCACATCTGGATCTGATGTGGCCACACCTTTCTCTCACCTGGCCCCACTTCCCTTTACCTGGACACACCTCTCCCTGCCCCTATCCTAGATAAGGCCTAACCCAGGGCCACTCTCTTTGCCAGCTGCGTGGAGTGCCAACCTGGCCTGGTCCCAGCAGGTCTACTGAATAAACCTACCCCTGACCTGAATACCACGTGCGTGGTATGGTTCTTACTCGGCTACCTCTTTTTAAAAACCTAACAATTAGCTAGGAATATTGCTTAGTGGTAGAGAAGCTCTGGGTTTGATTCCTGGGTACCACAAACAGAAAAATCCAGAAGTGGTGCTGTGGCTCAAGTGGTAGAGTGCTAGCCTTGAGCAGCTCAGGAACAGGGCCCAGACCCTGAGTTCAAGCACCAGGACTGGCAAAAAAGAAAAAAAATGGGATAACTTAATAAGTATGCATAAAAATGCCAGGCATGTAGCATATACACATCAACCAACACCGAGAGGCGCTTGATAGCGGCTGGATGAACACACCAGCTGGCGGCCCCTTCGGCACTCACACCCGGGGTCGCAGCGCCGCCGCCGCGCGCGGGAAGGGCTCCCCGCGCCGCCCGGCCCTCCCGCGCCCTCCCTCCCGGTCCCCCCCCACTCACCATGGCGCCCAAGGCGCAGCCCGAGGTCGCGCTGCCCCAGGCCCAGCAACTCCCGCCGCTCAGAGTCGCCCACCAGGAACCGGAAACAGCGGGACCGGAAGCGAGGCTCAGGAAGCGGAGGCGGCGTGACGTTGCATGCGTTGCACGCGTACGGCCCTTGGGGGCGTGGCAAAGCTACGCCCGGGCAGCCG